CCTACATGGTCTGGAAGAAGGAAAGTTAACCAAATTATTATCAGACACTTAAATAATATTTGTTTGCCATTCTCTTGTATGAACCACTTTCTACATCCAGTGCCTGACAGACGTGAATGTTTATGCACTCCTGAGGTTGCAAAGCATTCCTATTTCAACTACCTTCAGATAACCAAATAGTGTAGTTCTGCAGACTTTGTACTGGTACCAATGGAGATCCAAAGAAGCATCCAAGGGAAACAGTGTATATCGGGGACAAACAATTTCAGTCCTGAAAAAGTTTATCTAAAGTTATTTATTTGCTCTAAAGCTATTATAGTGGCTACCATGGAGTCAACGCAGAATTTAAATGTGAGTTTCCTATAATACAGACCCAACGCTATAGCCTAGTACAAGCCTCAGAAGTCCTAATAAGTTCAATGGGACTTACTCCTAGTGAACCCCACTAGCTTGTGTAGTGGATGAAATGCATATTAAATAGACAATAATGTCTGATAAATTACTAGTAAAGAGAAAGTCTTTGGGCTGTATTCAACTAACTTTTGCTCAGAGTTGTTGGCATCTGTCTGTCTTGAGAGACAATGCAGTGTACCTCCAAGGGTGAAGTCAAACCACTGGAGAATCGCAGTGCCTGCTGTGGCTGCAGAGACCAGTAACTCACAATTGCTGCCTGTGTTGCTTTTGCTGTATTAGCAGCACCGGAGTGACCTCTCCAAGGCACAAGCCTGGGCAGTGTGTTTGGTGGCCCTAGACAGCTCAGATGACAAGACTCCGCTCTTGGACTCAGAAGTTGCCAGAAGAATTGTCCACTCCACTCTGAATTTGAGTAGCATTTACCTCTTAGCCTTTTCCTCTCCTAAAGATGTCCCACAAAGCAGCGAGCTGATCAGAGCAGATCCATGGAAATTCATTGCCATGACTAATTTAGGTCCATTAATCTGAATGGTTCTACTCTGAGAAAAAGTTAGTTGAATGCAATTCTGGCCTGCTTGAAGAATGAAAGAAACTGAGATCTGCCAAAATAAACTATTTTGTGGTATTAAAATGTGTACTTTTACTTTAAAGAAGTGGTGAAGAATAAAGACATTGATTAAACTCCCATGTGTAGAGGAATATATACTATGATAATCACTAAAATGTTCTTTTGGATAGACATTTACATTTACAAACGATTTTCATTCCTAGCACTAAATTCCTTTAGCAAAATTCATGGGATGTTCTGTATTTTCAGACAGCAATCCACATTGTTTCCAAGGAAATATTTCACTATATTTCCAACAGTGCAAAGGAAGATAAAAGGCTTTAACTAATTTAACTATGTGGATGTGAGTAAGTCCTAACCTTAATCCAGTACCTGTAATGGAAACGCTAATGCAGCATTATGGTTTTACTTATCAGAAAACAATTATTCAGTGCAGGAAAGCCATAAACTAACGTGGGCAATTCTCCATTATTGTAGATGTGGCAGTAGAAAGCTAACTTTTTCATATATATTTTGTGCCTGCAGCTCAATAACAGAAGGAAGCAAATATCTCAGAAGTTCCCTTACCAAAGACAGTGAGCTCTGCTGGGTCACTATCCCGTTCTCCCACCATATTGGTGCCAACACATGTATACATTCCAGCATCACTCTTTCTTGTGTTCGAAATCATAAGCTTTCCACCTCTTATCTATCAGGGGGAAAATGAAAAAAGTCTAAGTTTTAGCACACTGTAAGCGGTTTCATATAACTAAAGATGAAAAGAAAAACACAAGTAGCAATATTTATAAATATTAGCAAATGTAATTACTATTTCTAAAGGACTATTCTTCATGTAAGATTACTGTAATTTTTGTTCCATAAGACACACCTAGTTTTTAGAGGGGGAATGCAAGAAAAAAATATTCTTTAAAAGGAGTGCTGAGCAGAGCCTGTATGCATCCCAGGCTCTGCTCAGCGCTCCCTTTCACGTGCTGCATGGAGCGTGTGTGTGGCGCTTGCAGGCTTTTCCCCGAGGAGGGAGAAGGGCAGCCCGTCACTGATGGGTTGCCCTTCTCCCTCCTCAGGAAAAAGCTCCGCATGGCTCTTTAAAGGGAGTGCGGCTCTTGTGGGCTTTTCTGGGAGGTGGGGGAAGGGACAGAGCGCGGCTAAGCCAGAAGCTAGAACAGCAAGAGGGATTGCTGCACAGCGCTCCCTCTCGCTGTTCTGGCTTCTGGGATAGCTGCGCAGCCTGCATTTCCTCCATAACACGCACACACATTTCTCCTTACTTTTTAGGAGGGAAAAGTGCGTCTTATAGAGCAAAAAATACAGTATTTAAAATTTGTGAAGGGGCATAGCAGGACACTTTGGTGACCTCAGTTCTTTCAAATGTCTTTGAAATATTTGGTGCTTTTGGTCACAAAGGGATTTCACAAGTGCACTTTCACTGGACAATTGATGGGAAAAGGAAGCTTTTTATCACCCTTCCACCTGAAAAATGCTTATGAGAAGAGGCCCAAGAGCATCGCTGTCCATACTGTGATTCTCCCACATTCAGTTATTTAGCCACATGCTTAATTAAATGCTCCAATTTACCAGAAAACCCACACTGAGATTCACTTTTTAGCAAATTGATCAATATTTTTTAGGTTCCCATTTCAGTAGGACAGACTTACACTGATTCTCTCTTCTCTGTCATCTATTCGGATTTTGTCTTTTTTCCAGTAGATAGTGGGCTCAGGATGTCCTCGAGGAGGCTGGCACTCTAAAATAGCTGGTTCACCTGCTGCCACAACAACATCTGTGGGATTTTGTCGGAAATCATCCCGTAGCACTGATACAAAAATAATATATAAATAAAAGAAAGGAAGAAAAAAGAAAGAAGATTTATTATAACAGCATACTGGCAAAGAAAAAAAAATTATTGGTCAAAATTTCTTTGGTGGCTATTTAACATGCATTATAAAAAATCCATCCCAATCAGCCACTATACCAGAAATAAATGACTCCATAGGTGGCCGATTCTCAGCATATGAGTACAGGCTATGCATATGTATTTTGTAGCAGTATCTCTCATATAAATGCACACATACGCACCCAGTTTCTTTTTTATTCTGCAGCCACACCTGCCAAGTGACATCTGGCCAATGTGACCTTCTCAGGACAAAAAACCCTAATAGTATGATTGCCATTCTGACACTGAATTCTTTTCATTAAGGAAAACAGCATGCTGGACTTTGCTTGTAACCTTTTGGAAATCCTGTGTGCCTATCTCTCAAATGGCACCTATATCCACAGCAGTCGCTTTAAAGTCATCTGGGCAAAAGAAGAGGTGACACACTACACAGTTTTACTTCTACGGCTTAATAATAATAATAATAAACAGCAACAACAATTTATGAAGGATGCCAAGATCTAGGTATACATAAAGTTATGCTTTTTTTATTCTCACTTATCTTTGCTGCTATGATTGTGAGAGAAAACCAGAAGGGAGAAAATGCTTGCAGGTTACTCTCAACTTTTGGAAAACTAGTTTAGGGAACTACCTTCTTAGAGAAATTATGTCACAGCACAGGGATTAGACTTTAGTGTTCAGAAATGATATTATTTTATCATTATTCTTCCATGCATGTTCCAGTCTCTAGGTTAACTGCCACCCTTAACAACACAGAACTGAAAAGAGCTCCAAAATCAGCCACTAAAAATTAGGGCATCTCCTCTCTTGTAGTTCAACTATGCAAGAGGCTCATTACTGTTTTAATACAGATTTCACCTTTAGTGGAACAAGGGCCCTCTGAGAAATCAAGAAAAGCCTGTGTCTCACTAAAGGAGCAGTCTGGAACAGTTCAGCAAAAATGTTCACTCTTCACTTATAAGCAGATTTAATTTACTGCTTTTGCTGTTAATAAAATGTGCTCCATTTTAACATTTTGAACTGCACATTTCCCATTTTCGTGTGTTACATGGAAGGATAAAATTTATATGCACAAGGATTAGCCACTGAATGGGTTGAGGTGAGCCTGCATATAAATCTGGCTCTCAGCTACAGATATGGGTTTCTGCTTATCGTTTTAGCATTTTCAAGGCACACAGGTAAATCCTAAGAGAGGGAGAAACTAATTAAAGGTTAATTTAGTTTCTAATATAAAAAGGAGCTGTTTATGTACACCATGTCTAGACGCAGAAAATAAAAATAAAAGAATTGGCGTAAAAATCATTCTGGCAAGAACTCCACTTTCTCTAAAGGAACACATCTGGCAGGGTGAAGGGCATATTTCAGAACCTTCTTCCCACATTTTTCTTGCCTAAAGCTTCAAATGAAAGGAATACTCTGGACTGGTGCATATTATACAAATCTTTCCCATAAAAAAGCAAGTAAGATTTATATATTTGCATCTGTCAAGAATTCACATTTGATAGAAAAGAAAGAAAAGAGTGAGGAATAGTTAATTTTGGAGACAAAACAGAATGATGATATCCTAATACAGAAGAGCACAGAATGTGGCAAAGTATATCCAAAACACAGAACACAGAAATACACTATCAGAAGCCAGCGTATTCAACAGTGACAATCCACAAAATTTTACATTCTGTAATATTCCTCTGTGTATATCAGTATACAAACACAGAAAGTTAGAAAATAATGAGGAAAAAAAGTTTATTTCACAAATGGAAGTTTGGTAATATTCAGGATCAAAAAGTACAATTTAAAAATTACACAGAAAGTCAAGCACCAATTCCAGCATGTTACAATACTGGAAACACTGATCTCTAAACTCTACTTGGCCTCTGGATTATTTACATAATCACTGGCGTGCCCACTGTAGGATAATTAAATTTTAGCATCACGGTATGCTTTTTCTACTGTCTTCTGTCAGAGATCAAGCAATCACTTTCTACTCACTGTAATCCTTGCCACCTGCCCCCAATCTAGATTATAAACCCCTTTGGGCTGGGACCATGAACTGTCTGCATTGTGTTCCATCTGAAAAGAGGAAAGGCAATCCTCAAACAAACAAGAAATTAACTAAAAAAAATCCTTCCAGTAGCACCTTAGAGACCAACTAAGTTTGATATTGGTATGAGCTTTCGTGTGCATGCACACTTCTCATACCAATAACAAACTTAGTTGGTCTCTAAGGTGCTACTGGAAGGAATTTTTTTATTTTGTTTCGACTACGGCAGACCAACACAGCTACCTACCTGTAACAAGAAATTAACTCCAGTTCTTTAGAATGTAGAAAAGGCATGTAATAAATAGCCTGATTATTGAACATTCATCCTGATTTGTTTGCATAATATTTCTATTTAGTGACCACTCATTCTGTTTGAAAGGAGCTTAGTCCCAGAGACTAGAGAGTATAAGACGATCCTTTGCAGTCATCATATTTTTACAGGCCCTGCTGTTCATTAGGAATGGAAAACTACACTTTAGGTAGGCACATTTGTACTTTTTCCCATTCTGGTAATGAGAGATCAGTAGGTTGGAATAACCTTGGGCGGAATAATAGGAGACTGCAGGGATGACAGAGGGAGGACCTTTTGCGGGACCCTTTGACCAAAGGCTGCTTCAGCTCTCCTCCACTGTTCAGGCAAGGCTCTCCTGAAAGATGTGAACTAAGTTTCTAGATTTTATATTCTATACAGTACCAGGTAATTTTTTCATACTATGAAATCTGCTAAAATGTAGAGAAAAAACCCCTCAAATAGATCTTTAAATATGATACAGTTGACATGTCAAAGTTCCAGGAGCTCCCCAAAGAACTGCTGTATAATCTGTTTCAGATATTCTGTCATTCTGTAGGAGATGAGAATAAGTGCACAGCTAAACTAATGGCAGTTTGGCCATTTTCATCTGGGACTGGAAACATCTGAGAGTAGGCAGAGAATCAGCCAAGGAAGTGATGATGGACCTCAACAATTTATTTCAGTCTCACACCGGATGGTTCAAAGAGATACAATATTATGCTCTACAGCACACATACAATAATGCTCCAGACAAAATTTAATTGTGGCATTCTAGGTCTTTCTTTGATGAAGAATGCATATACTTCTGAAGTACCATTTCCCGTTTTCATTTGAAATGTAAAAGTTCATTAATGGTTGAAAGCTTCATGTTGCAACAGTATAGTGAAGAGAAACGCTTGCAGCTAAAGCACCTGGTGCAACCGGGGGAAAGGCTTGCTACCAAAGCAACTCCTCACTAAATATGCCAGTTTATGCCCAAATCCAGACCAAGTCAAACTAACATCTGTAAACTCTAGGAATTTTATAGAAAGGGGATTCATTTTCTCCTCTGTGACTCTGACGATTTGTTTAAATGAGTCTGAGTGTTTTTTGGTGAAGTAAAAGAGGGGGTCATAATCATTAATATATATATCCATAGTGTAATCCTTCCTTCTACCATAAAAGCTCTCAGACCCCAAGTAAAGGGGGAAAATACATTTTAATAGGATTTACATTTACATGATGATTACAAATAACCATCTGTCTGCTTCTAGTTTTCAATCTGGTCTGTGTCCCATGAGTCCCTAGCCTATGGTCAAAGCAACTAAGCTAGAAGGGGAAAGTACAGGTCTGTCAGGAGATTTTGGATAATTTACATTCTTTTGCCACAGTGCCTGGTTTCTCCTTCTATCTACACAAATATATTACAGGGACTGTTTTCTAAATTCCATATACATACATTATAAAATATAGTGCGTGTGTGCGCACACACACACACACACACACACACATCAATATTTAAAATAACAGATGTATTTTATACAATACACTGTTTTGGTCCTCTCATTTTATGAAACTGAGTTTTTAATCTCTATAATAAAATTGTCTCTAAGTATGATACTCTAGGTATGAACCAAACATAGTGGTTCATCTCATTCTAGCAATCTCACCACTTTACTGCATAATATTCTAATAAATTAGAACAAGGTGCACTTTGCTTTGTTGTCACTCGTGCGGAAAGAGAGCTTGGGAAACTCTGCTTGAAGATTAGGCACCAAGGCAAGCAGTGACGGGAAATCCCCTGTCAGATGATAAGTAGTCTCAAGCCATCTTTCAGGAGATTGTGATGGATCCAGTCCTCCTGTATCATAAAATAATCATTGGGCTACCACTTGCCCTCCCACCCCACAACCATAAGCTATTGTAGCAAATTATGTACAACCCTCAGAGTTGATTTATTTATCCAAAAAAATTAAAATGATTTCTATGGGATTTGGCATATTCCAAATCACTGTTGCTATACTGCATTTGCTAAGCCAACCCACGGTTAAATATGAATATGAAGGGTCCTGAAGAAGAGACTGTAGCAGCTTTGTACTTCCATGGTCCTTTTAACTCAGCAAGGCTAAACCAAAATTTGGCTTAATGGGTTGTCCAAACATAGGCTCATGTTTGACCTTACAAAAACCAAACCCAAAATGAAGAGCAATAGTCTCGTCATCTGGTGAACCAGGTTCGCATCTCCGCTCCTCCACATGCAGCTGCTGGGTGACCTTGGGCCAGTCACACTTCTTTGAAGTCTCTTAGCCCCACTCACCTCACAGAGTGATTGTTGTGGGGGAGGAAGGGAAATGAGAATGTTAGCCGCTTTGAGACTCCTTTGGGTAGTGATAAAGCGGGATATCAAATCCAAACTCTTCTTCTTCTTCTTGTCGCTACCAGCAGCTTAATTAGATTTCTATATTTACTTTGTTGAACTATAATGGCAAATTAAGCAAGAGAAACATGGGCTATGAGGCCTGAAAAAGCCTTCCCTGTGATATGGCCGCTGCACTGCCATTGCCACCTGTCCCCCAGCGCACCAAGTTCAATTTATTGCAAGTAGAAAATAGAATGTCTCATAGAAATCGTCTCACAGTCTCCAAAACTGGTTGTTCCTTTACTAACTCCTATCCCATCTATGCTTTTGGCTGATATCTTTAAGACTTTCCTCCCAGCCAACACTCAGCTTTCAGCAGCTACAGAGCATGTTCAGGTCTCACTGAGCTGTTTTTAAAGGGGGGGTCCCATTAGGTCCCCCCCATATGTTTTGTACTTTCGTAAATCTTGAGTATTGCAACATATCACCTTCGGTTATCAGAAGCATGATGTTTTTGGCTATACAGCGGTACCTCGGGTTACATAAGCTTCAGGTTACAGACTCCGTTAACCCAGAAATAGTACCTTGGGTTAAGAACTTTGCTTCAGGATGAGAACAGAAATCGTGCTCCGGCGGCACAGCAAAAGGAGGCCCCATTAGCTAAAGTGGTGCTTCAGGTTAAGAACAGTTTCAGGTTAAGAACGGACCTCCGGAATGAATTAAGTACTTAACCCGAGGTACCACTGTAGTTCTGTCACCATTCACTGCCCAAGTTTGATATTAGAGAAAGTGATGCTAAGAGTGTATACTTGATACTGCTTTTTACAAACCTCTCACACTCTCATGCAAGTATTTATGCTCTATACACTTAATTGAGACAGACTTTTATGCATACAATATCATCATTCTTATTTTCTCTTTCATATCTCTGGGACTAAAATAGTAACAACTGAATGATCAACTGAATGTTTTTATGACCTTCAATCCTTTCAAACTATTTTTTCAGCAAAATAATTAAAAATATCACCATCTGAATAAACACTGGGGAAATCCCTCATAGGCTTTCTGAGCCCTGCCTTACTTTAGAGAAGATTCTGTCTTCTTCAGTTGCATCAGGTGTTACAATCATACGTTACAGCCACTGGGAGTCAGTCTGTTAAATATGTCATCAACAGTTATGTGATTTAAGGAAGTTAACTTTCTTGCGCACACAGGTTTCTGATGCTTTATTATGTCTGTTGATGCTCTCTTACTGCTGTCTGCTTTTTATTTTCCCCACACCAATAGGACAAAAAGAAGATCCTATACGTTCTTAGAATTCACTGTGTTCAACTGAATGCAAGCTGATATCTTTGTATTTTCTGGAAAGATTCTATTTGACTGTTGGATGATATGAGGAGTGGAAGTCTTTCTAATCCAGAATATAAAATATTTATGAGTAAACTAGGAGATGGAAAACAAAGTTATATGACCTATCTACGCTGTAGTGAAGCCCATATAACCTTATCTCCCCCTCGCTTTTAGCCCCTAATGAATTCTGAATGCTGCAGTTAACATTCAGCAATCTCATTACACATCAGCCATAAATCTTCAAAGGCATCACTTTTGTTTTGACAACCAAGGAAGGGAGAAAAAAGCAATAAGCATTTCTGAGCATGCTTTTTGTTGATATAGATTTCCTTAAGATAAGACTAAAATTATTTTACATGCACTATGCATATGATAATGGAATGTTTTGGATCATGCTGAAAATATTTCCAGGTTCACAACAGACATATTTTTCTTCTAATGTTGTTGAATACATTCCCCTTTAGCCAAACAGCCTAAATCCTACAATATAAATGTCAAAATACTGTTTTTTTGGAATTAAAAAATGGTTAATATTCCTTAATTGAAGAAGGCTTAATATAGATTTGTGAGCAATTTCAGAAAATATAATATGTATTTTTGTACCCCTAGGTTTGTATATTTTCAAACCTTGAGGTTTAACAAAAACAAAACAAACCAGTAAACAATTCTTATCCAATGACCTTTTTCACGGAACCATGTCTACTGTTTGCACATGCCCCACATTTATAGAAAGAGCTTGGAATATACTTTTACATTAGCAGTCTACCAAATGGAGTTCAAAGAATAAGGTAATATCAGTCTTCAGACTTTCACCTTAGTTTCTTTTGTCCATCTTTTAAACACGCATGGAACCATATCCTCATGGTATTTTGATGCTAAATTACTTACTAAACCAATAATCTGTGGAAACCATTTTCACAAGCATTTCAGAATATGTTGAACATACTGCAGATGTTACCAGGAAAAAATAATCTGGGATGCTATGAAAGCAGTAGAAAGAGAATATTGTATGGCAGGGAAAAAAAAGATGTGTAAACAACATGCTTAAACAGCAACATCTTTACATCTTGAATTGGAAAAGTTAGAACATTACCATAAACAAACTGGTTCCATAAAAATTAGGAAACAAATTAAAGATATATGTGACTTCTTGGGGAAGATATGACAGACCGAACATCTTCTTTTGGTTGCTCGCCAACAGAGATAATTACATGGTGC